CATTATAAAAATCATTAAAGCACAATGTAATGTGAGATTACAGGAGCCTCGTGATTTGCATTTTCTATATCTCGAAGGGAACCTAAATCTCTAAGACTGGTTGAGATTTGTCATCTCTGGAAAAATTACCAAAGTTACTTCACTTGTTTTGGCATGAAGATTCTAAATTACAAGACTCTCTGATTTAAAAAAATAACTATAGAGATGTATGCTTTTACCAGGTTCTGAAGAAATAATCTACCCAGTTCAGTTGCATGGGAAGATTCAATGTTTTGGAGCTTGGTCGACACTATGCACTAAAAGGATATTGATTCAAACCATTAAAATACTTTTCTCACATGTTCCTGATATTAATAGAGGTGCATTGTTTAAAGTGGGGTTGTATGAGGTACTTATTCTTAGTCAGAATATCATCCACAGTATGCCTGTCCAGCCACAACTGCATGGAAGCTAAGTGCTGGGAACAGGTGCAGCAGGGACATGTCGGTGAGCCACCAAAAGGAGCTGGTAGGGATCAAGGCAGTGGTAGCCAAGCAATATAGAAAAGTTCCAGAAATGTAGTGTACACTGAAATTGATATGATATGTTTAGCTGCTGCCCCCATTCACAGCATATAGGCTACATTACATGGCCTCTGTGCTATTATGGATAAGTACCTCACCCAACTCTACATGAAGTTTAAATAATCCGCTTGTATTATTTTACCCATCCTCCGCCATCTCGTATCTCAGGGCAGACGACTCTCTCCACATACGCCCCCACACACTCCTTCAGCTGAGGCAGGACCACCACCATGCCCCTTTCATGGCAATGTAGAGCCATCTGGCCTGCCAGCACATACACTGAGAGCACTGCGCTCCAGGCCAGCTCCCTGCGCCTCCCCCCAGGCACCGGGGCGAAGAAGTGCTCGTCCAGGATGCTCAAGAGCGTGGGGCAGGCTGTTTTCTCCGTCACATCCTGGAAGACTCGAGGCCAGCGTCTGAAGAAGATGGGGAAGCGGGTGAGGAGCTCGTCTCCAGCATGGCGCAGCGCTCTGGAGCAGGATGTGGGGGCAGGACCCATGGTGCCATCGGCCCCCCCTGTGGTTACATAGTCTATGTAGTCACGAGCCATCAGAAAAGCCTCTCTCACCAGCGGGTCAGCACTGTTCAGGCCCAGTCTGGCCGCTGGCACCGCCGACTGACACATAATTGTTTTTCAGATGGATTGTCAGTGGAAGACAGATATCAGCTCCAAGCAGCGTGTGGTACACCACCCTGTCATGGTGCTTCAGGGTGCTGTAAATGTAAAATAAAACAAACCACACTATAAAGACGAGAAGGACCGAATGCATACTGCAACTCCATAGGAAATAAATCATTCCTAACTCACCTTTACTGTTCAACACACACCAAAGCAAGAGAAAGATCCAGCAGTTGAAAGCGTTTGGGGTCCAGAGAAGTGTGTCTCTACGTGTTGCAGTTAAACGGGGTCACCCAGTCCCCTCGCTAAATATAGAGCCGTTGTTGGAAACTGACACTGATCTCCACCTAACATGCACGGTCAGGGCCTTCCTGGTGCACAGCTCCAACACAAGAGGCAGGGCTGGACTCATAGCACAGATGAAACAAGTGAGCTTTACAAGAGCAAACACCTAAATGTGTGATCGGTTCCTTCTCTCAGTGAGATACACCGTGCACATGATTAATGCCCACCCAGAAACACGTTTAGTGACTTTTTTCTTTTTAAATTCTTCCATTGATTTAATTAAATATAATGTATTGTTTCTGTAATTTCTAATATAATCCTGCGTTTATGAAAAATAAACAAGTTAATCATTTTTGCTGTCATTAATGTTATAAGTAACACATGTACTTTTCTCCTTGTACACTGGACTTCCACTGGGCTCTGTGCCTACATTGGAAAATGTAGGCTCAGACCTCCTAGGTATCACTGGCACAGCGCTGTCTTGGTTCATATCCTACCTCCATAACAGGAAACAGTTTGTCTCCATCAACAGCTCAAATTCACCCCCGGGCCAAGTCCACCGCGGTGTACCCCAGGGCTCTGTGCTTGGCCCCCTCCTGTTCACCATTTACATGCTCCCTCTCGGCCAGATCATCCGACATCATGGACTCAATTTCCACTGTTACGC